TGTCGACCTGATGGGCCAGGTTTCACAACCGTATAAGTGGGTTGAACGGACGGCTGCATTATACACCCTACTCTTCAGGGAGAGAGTGACATCACGTTAGCGCCACAGGTGGTGGAGATTGGCAGAGGCACCTCGAGCTTTTGCTATACGGTTCGTACTTTCATCTTCAATTCCACGGGTGCTAATATAGCTGCCCTGGTACTTCAATTCCTGAACGACTTCTAGCAGATCAGCACCAAGCGTTAGCGCAGGGGTGGGTCCCTCCCAATCTTGGAGAAGAACTTTGCACTTCGAAGGAGCAAAGCATAGCCCAAAACGATAGACAGCCAGTGCTAATCGGTCCAGTACAGCCTTCCACGTTTGGGCACTGTCACATATGAGGGCAGTGTCGTCTGCGTACTCCAAATAAAGAAGTCTTTCACTAGGAAGTAGCTCCACACCTTATAGGTCGTGTCTAACGAACGCTGTTTCCATGACTTCATCAGTAGCGAAGTTAAAGAGGAAAGGTGACAGTGGTCAGTGGCGGATTTCGAAGTCGTAACCAAGAAGAATAATAGCCCAACGCTGAAGTCAACTAGCTGAGTATGTGGGAATGTCTTTTGAACTGAACGTTGTAAATACTGCCCGTGCTCGGTAAATAACACGAAACGCCGAACGCACGTTGTGGAATTTGATGACGACAAACACAGTGGCCAGGGATTCCTTCTCAATCTGACCGTAGTTCTTCTCCGCTGGCGTCAACGCATGGGAGACGTGCATAACCGCTTTTACGGGATCATTTAAGAAGCGATGGGAGATAACTGCTCCGATCTCGTAGCCGAAAACGTCAGCAACGACAAAAACCGGCAAGGTCGGGTCGTAATGGGTCAGTAGTAGATTAGAACTCAGAATGGATTTCAGATAAACGAAGGTCTTCTCGCGTGCGGGGGACCAATGCCAAGGGTCATCCTTCTGCAACAACCGATTGAGCGGGGCTCGAACATAATATAACGATGGCAGGAAGACACTGTAGTAGCTGAACAGAGCAAGGAAGAACCGCAGTTGTGACACATCCACTGGAGCTGCCATCTGCAGGATGACTCGTTTTCAGGACCAGGATGACGGCCACTGGCATGGAGAACGAAACCAAGCTATTTGATCGATGGAAGAAAGAGTTGGCGTTTCTATGCTCTCTTGCGGAATCCATACTCCTAGACACGATGAACAACCGCAGCCAGACGCTCTGGAGTCTTTTCTGGGGCCGCGTCCAGTACGCGGCCGTACCCGGAATGCCAGGATCATGGTGTCGGTCGTCTGTTGGGAAAGGGTCGGAGCGGTTTTGACACCAAACGGGAGTTTGGTATACTTAAAAAGACCACGGTGTGTGTTGATCGTGAAAAGTGTTTATGACTCAGGGGCGACTTTGATCTGCAGGTAGACATCTATCAGATCGATTTTGGCGAAACACGTGCCGCCGTTGAGTATTTTGAAGTGGTCTGCCGGGATCGGTATTGGGCAGCAGTTTCGCTCTAACGCAGCATTGAGACCGGTGGAGTAATCGGCGCAGATGCGAATGGATCCTTCTGTGTCTCGATCACGAGGACCGGCTCTGCCCAGGCGGAATAGGACACACGAAACGGGACGTCCCTGTCTTCCAAGCGTTTGAGTATGGCATACAAGACAGGCATTTTAGGACGGAATATTAGTTGAACACCAGGTATGAGCTGTAACACGTCGCGCGTGCGTGTACAGCGGGTAAAGTCGTCTTGGAACACTGGAGCCAACTGTCCGATGATGTTGTCGGTTTGCAGATGGCTCGAAGGGGCGGATTGGCGAGGCAAAGGATTTCGAGCCAGTTGAGACCAAGTAGGTTGAGCTTTGACTCTGTGGTGTAGCAGATCCCGTTGAATGCGGCGCCTCGAGAGGAGACGGAGTAATGCAGCTGCCCAGTTGGCTGCATCAAACCACCACAGGCGCTTGTGGCTGATTGGGAGGTCGGTTCGAATGGACGTCCCTAGAGATCCTCGGCGATGATCATGATGTCGGACGCAGTGTCCAACTGCAATCGGACGTGCTGACCGTTGACCAGCACGTCGATGAATTATCGCGATCCGCAGCGTTGACTTGGAAGGTGGTCAGCAGTCTCAGGAAGCTGTCAACCGGACCAGGTTTGGGTTTGCCTCTGGGTCGAGACCTCTTCTTTGGATCTCGGGTTGGAACCAGACCAGTTTTGGTCATCTTGGAAGGTGTAGGATGGCAGTAACTATTTTGATGTCCCACCGTGCCACATTATTGGCATCGGTGCTTGCGAAAATTGCAGTCCCGGTGTAAATGCCAGACACCACAGAATCGGCACGCGTAGGGTGGGGACTTTGCTCGGTCGAGTAGGTTGGAGAGCACGGGCGATAGCGCCCTAGATGCTGCGACTTCCTGGCCCATACCAGGCGCAGCTGCGTTCTGGATCATGACAGAGTCCGTTCTTCACGTGCAGCAGCGTTTGTCACTCCTCGGCCAGGTACTGGAGTGTAACAGTGGTATCATGTTGTGGCTTGAATAGGAGGCGCGTCCGGATATCGGCATCATGTGCAGACTGTAGACCGGAGACGAAGATCAAGCACTGGAATTGGCCCCCTGTGAGCGAACCAAGTTGAAAACACTTGCATTCATGGTTGACCATACCTGCGTACGTGGTGAACTCCTCGGCATCACGATTGGCTAGGTGCAGCCTTTGAAAACGAGCCTTCAACAGGGAGGACTGCTCGCTGGAAATCTGCGATAACATTTGGAACGTGTCGTTGAAAGTAACGTCCCGTGGGTTTTTTGGCAAGATGAAATTGGTCTAACGTTGTTGCTTCATCGTACCAAGTTTGCGTAGAAGCAACCGGACCTTCCATGCGTCATCCTGGCAGCTCAGGTCAACGGCGAACAGGTTCTCGTACCACTTATGCCTGGAATCGAACGTTACTCCAGCCTTGGCGTCGTACAGGAATTAACTAATGCCGCTGACGACATGGCCCACTGATTGAGAATTGCCAATCAGACCTGTGTGAAGGGATGAACTAGAAAGTTTGTCGGACATCAATTTGAGTTGCTGCTGTAGCATAAGTTTGAAGTCGGCGTACTCGTCCGTCATGGTTCGAAAGCTCTACCGTCGCTACTGTAATACTTTTGTCCTTCCCTTGAGACGATAGCTTAGCCGCGAAGTTGCACGTGACGTTGTAGCACGGATTCGGCTAACGCACTTGGTCCAGGAAACCAGGCGAAACGATGCACACTCCCTTTGAGAGACGCGCGAGTCGCAACCAACCCACAAGGGAAGACAGAAAGCTAGTTGGACCCTTGAGAGTTCTTGTAAGACCCGCGAAAGCCGAACACGGTTGTCACAACGGTGCATCTTGTTGGAGAAAAGCATCACCGCGTCGAACGCGTGGTTTGCAAAAGACTGTTGTTCATTTTGACACGGCTGTGCATTGACCTGGACTTGTTGCAAGCTGTCGCGTTGTTGGTAGGAAATGGACCCCGCGTGGCTCAGTCCGCGTATTAGAGTTCGCAGCGCAGTTACGCATTTTGCGGGATCACCTACGTTCCAACTACATTCATGAACATGAACCGAATTTTTAATTGTGTTTGTTATTGTTTCCTCGCCTCTTGCTTGTTTCATCTATTCCCATTAACATCAGTTGTTTGAATTTCCCCGTACGTCCACAATTTATCGTAATATGGTCTCCACAGCTTTTATACCTGTTTCATTGGATGACCTCTCTCGTACTAAGGAGATGTTGTCGAGGCGATTCATTTGCTCGCGGGGCTCACATTGTTCACTCACTCAGAATTGGAGAATGTGAGTTACTAGAGATAAGTTTACTCGATTCATTTGGAGCACAAGCGTCCGTATCCAGGACAGTGTAAAATTCATCTATAGTTTTCTATTTCGCTGTTTCCAGGAAATGACTTGGCTACCTATATTGCTAACATTCGTTTCCACGGCCAGGAATTCGTTGGTGGGTTATTGATAATCCCGGTGATCAGAATGTTGTTGACCTACTTTGAAGTGAGGTCGCGTGTAGCATCTAAAATCTGGCAACTACTCAAAAATTCCGATAGTTTTACTCGGTCAGTGACCGATAAATCCTTCCATGATCCTTCACTTTGTTGCTGGCTCGAATCCCAGCTCGCTTCTCTTCTTGAACAATAAGGCCATGACGACATTTGTGTTGCAGTACTCGGTTATAATTTAACGACTGCTGGACTCATTTGACCACTTCGGCTGCGGTAGTGGTTATTTATGCTGACATTTCACGTCCTAACCAATCTACCCTGCGAGAGTATGTCGTTGGAAATGCTGATCGTAATCATACAACTTAGCGCTTGAGCTAGTCACTAGTTTGACTCGCTTATCAGCTTTGTAAACAGTTGCATCGTGTTTTAATTCTATGCTCCCATTTTCGATGACTAACGTATCGATACCCACTTTTTGCTGTGCCACTTTTGTAGCTTGATACTTGTGTATAGCGTCGATTCTCCCAGGCCAAACTGCTTGGCAGCTGTTCATTTAACACTTGCTACTTTTGTCACACACCCACGCATCTGTTAGTTGCTAACGTTTACTGTTTATCTGCTACAATTGACCGGTGCATTCTTACGTGCTCGATTTTGAAATTAAGACAAGCCTTTTGTTTAGTGTCTTTGTGCCAGTTGCTCAACACCCAACATTATTCCAGGCCTAGAGTTGCCTCATCCATATCACCAAATATGAAACACCACCGTCTATTTGACTACGTTGTTTGGCCTCTCTGCATTATTGCTCGATTGCACATTCTGCACTAATCCTCTTGCCTTATTCGGCTTCATACGCTCTCATGAACATCTTACGCCAGTCGACAGATTTCATTCACTCAGTATCGTGTGCATTGAGTGAAACGCTTCATGCCCTAGCTTTCTTCATCGTGCTTGCATCGTCAAACCTACTTCAACATTATTTTGCTTAGAATCACCTCGCGAGTTACATTTATCTTGTTCAGGTTGAAAATACCATTCGATGGCGCATTGGAAAGACTCCTGATGGCGAGCCGGTTCACGAATCGAACTCCCGCATTGTGCGCTGGTCAGATGGCTCACTTTCTCTCCACTTGGGTGATGAGATTTTCGACATCCACAAGGTTGATATTCATTCGGATTACAACTATCTTTTCATTCGAGAAGGGAGCGGTCTTCAGGGCCAGTCTAGTCTGCGGACGAAGCTCACGTTCCGGTGAGAGTGTGTGTGTGTGTGTGGGTCTGTATCTATGTGCGTTTTTCCGTAATCCTTTGATTATAGGCTTTTGACAGCACTGTCACACCTGACGTGAATGGCGCCCACACTAATTTCCATGTTGTGTGAGACGTCTCCTTCAGCTACTTGCAACCATTTTCATTGCGCAATCCTAGCTGCTTTTACGATAAAGTCGCGAAGTCGATCGCGTCAGCCACTACGGTTAAGGAACACATCAACACTTGTTATTTTTTATCAAATTTCCGATGTTGCTGCGAAACACAATTTCGGCGCAACAAAGCACCTCGTTCACCAGTGTAATTAATGGGAACTTGTTCTGCGTCTAACATAAGTAAGCAGAGCGTTACTGAATGGTGCAAACGTTTCCCCCCTACCAACTGGGCTGGAATACGTGGCACATTCTAACCACCTTCCGAGTCCCTCATGCCAGAGAAGTCGTTTGTCTTAAAAATCTATAATAACAAGGCCGTACCTCAATGTGGTACAACGGGTGTTTACATTTTCGCGTTTTTGTGCTATACTAAGTGGTTCCCTCAGACATCTATATATATATATATATATATATATATATATATATATATATATATATATATATATATATATATATATATATATATAAAACATATATATATCACATCACATCTATATATCACATCCAGTAACTTAGTCACGGCAGTCGTTACCGCCCCGTCAGCTCAGTGGTCTCAACCACAGACTGGCAACAGTCGAGTTGCGGGTTCGAGCCCTGCAAGAATCAGATGGAATACACATCGCTGACGATTCCTGAAAGGATGAAACGGCCCTACAGTGCTTTCCCGGAAGTGTGATGGCTATCTAAGTAGATGTGATGAACTTATACCATTTTTTATTTGTGTTACACATGCCGTTTTTTCCTCTTTTCCTTTTCAATGTTTATGACATTAACAACCGTGTGAATCAACACAATTCTGCACAGAGCTCTTCCAGTGATTCCGTTTGCTGGTCCTCTTCAAGCATGTCAAGTCACTGGCACCCCTGATGTTTGGTCCTCATCCAGGAAGACATATGGGCCCAACGGCGGCTAAACGTGACGTCAAAGATTTCATATGGTGTCACCATTTTGGAGACCGACCACTACGCGGTCGCCTCTAACCCGGTTCTGCTCGAGTGAATAGAGTGTAGCACGGCACAGCAAACGCTCCGGCGCCATCCGTAGGACGTGATCAAGCCATCTTTACCGGCGCAGCAAAACCGCTTGTCAAGGGGACGCGACGCCTTACGTCACCACTATGAACTCAGTGTTGCCACCACACGCGAGCGATTCTCCTCACACAATCGTTGTCAAGGGCGAAAAACGGCACATGTCTTCCAGGTGAATTAGACACGGATCGCTGCCATACACTAAAACTGAACGAACAGAGGCGCTGCAAACTCGGCCCTTTATTGAGATTTATATGTCCCAACGACGCCACAAGTGCCTCAGATTGACACATGCTGATCGGGCTTTAGCGATGCGGAAAGAAAATTCCCTGCTGATAGTGCTCCTAGCAGAGACACGGCTCCCAAGGTTGATGGAACTATATACCTGTTCAAGCGGTGCACGTAATAGGGTGAGCACGTGAGCGGTTTTGTACCACTCCCGGAGCAGCCTTTTGACTTCGTGGAGGCGAAGTTCATCCCAATCCTACATGCTTCAGTCGCCAAACTTACATACTCTGTGGATGATTGCCAAGTAAAATATTGTCATCGTCATAATCTAAGTCAGTTGCGCGCTCACCCGGTAGAAGCTTAAGCCAAAATTTCGGGGACTGTTAAAGCTCTCCACAGGACGTTGAAGAAGAATGGGGACTGCGGGCAGTCCTGTCGCACAGCGAAGTGAGAGGAAATTTTGGCGCTGATCCTTACTTTGATGGGAATATGAAGTAAAGTGCGGGTAAGATGGCGGTATACTTCTCTGGCACCCCATCATTTAACGGTCAACGTCATAAAGCAGGTCCATCAGTCGAGTCATATGCAACCCTTATGGATGTGACGATAGTGGGCCTGTGGTAAGTGTGACGGTGTTCGAGAGGATGTCGGAGCATGAATATTTGATCCACACGTCCACGGGCGGAACAGAAAACAGCTTGTTCTTCACGATTTTATCATTCACGTAGTTGGGATAGTCCACGAAGCAGAACGGATGCCAATAGCTTGGAGTTAACCGAATTCATACTAATCCGTCGTTGATAGACATGAAATGCTAGTGTCTTTCTGAAGATTGTGACAATAACTGATTTCCCCTATAAAGGAGGCACTTTTTCTTCATGCCAGATATCAGCTGGCTACTGATCGCTACTCACCGGACCTGAACAGCTCCAGAGGAAGTCCGTCTAATCCTGCAGCATTGAGTCGATTTAAGCGTCGAAACTCGAGGCAAACTTGCTCTTCGCTGGGTTGGTCCACTTCGCCGAGTATGGGTAGGCAACTGAAAGTACTGCACACACGGTTAAATCCAGTTGAACTGTGAATGAAAGGGCTCGGCCCAGCGTTCCAAACGTTTTTTTTGGTTGACAATCGGAGACATACCTGCCTCGCAGATAACCTCACTGACTTCACGCTTCCTGAGGCCAGTGGACCGAATGGGTTGGAAAAGCTAGCAATTGTTATCAGGGAGGAAAGCGGTCTCCATCTCCAAAACTCGCTCAGATCGCCGTGACTGGCGATCTTTGCGCAGGCTTTCCTTGAGCTGCCGGTTGGCAAAGTGTCACCGCTCATTACAATCTGATTCTACCGGGATGTCTCTGCGGCGGTCGAACAGCTCCAGAGATTCAAGCCTTTGAAGGGCATCGAGCTAGGTCGCAGTTTGATTGTCTGAAAGTGTCTGTGTTGCTTAATGTCCTGTGGAAGATTGCAACTAAGTGCATTTGCCAATGAAAACTAACAGCTCTTTCTAGATCGAAGAATCAGCTAATCTGTTCGCATCAATCCTGAGGTGCTTCGTTTTTGGGACCCCCCCCCTCCGCCTCAAAAAAACGCATGCATATTTTCGCGCAGACCAGCGCATGATCTGAGTCAATGAAACAGCAAAAATAACCTGCAGCGCCGTATTCTGCCATGCCATCTGAAGCACAACGCAATGTGATCAATTTGAGACTACACTTGTGCTAGCGAAGGGGGCGCCAAGTTGCGGATCGTTTCTTCATATACCTGAAGTTGGTGTTGGAGAAAAACAACTGGTTGCCTTCACAGTCTGATAAGTCTTTCTCCGTTATCTAAGCCATTCCCACCGAGCGCGTGGTGACCACCAAGCTAACGTTCGTATGGTAACAGGCGGCCAACTCATGCATTGACATCCTCGACGTGGCCAACGACATTCGATTTGTTGGCTTTACTCAAGACCTGATAAAACTCTCAATAATAACCGTTCTTGACCGGGTCAAAACTGCAGTCACTTGGCGTGTACGCTGAGAGCACAAATATGTTGCGTTTCACTTTGAAACACCTGTTGTTTCTACATGAGCCTCGAAGCTGAATTGAACACAGCCGACTGTTAATCGGGGACAATTGCAGCAGTGCTATACATACAAATTCCAAACCCGCTGAGGCTGCTTCTGAATTCCCAGAAAGATACAGGTGATATGTGGCTCCGTGGTTATTGGAGTATGTCAGCATAAGCACAGTGCTGGGCGCTCGCATTCGGGTTTCGGTAGGGCAGCAGGCATAAATATAGAGTGACTCTAGGGTACGCACTATTCCGGCTTGCTACCCAATCTGCATGAGTGTCCGTATTTTGAAGCACACCAGACGAAACGAGGATTGGAGTCAAAGGAAGGCCACTAATTGAATTTCATGTTTCTCAGTGTTACCGGAATCGCAGGCAGATCCACGAACACAAGAATCAGGTAACGGATAACAAGGATGGTTAACTAGGGAACTGTTGATGTACGAAGAGGGTGGTGAATGCTAGGAGCATAAACGGTAGCAGATGAGCGCAGCGTAGAGCAGTCTATGGATTTTTGTCACAGGACATGATACTACCCGTTTGCCTAAGCCGAAGCAGCGAGTTGTCCTACGGGACACCACACCGTGCCTTCGGTTAAATATCCAACCTGCGAGACAGCGGCGTGAATTCAAGGAATCGCGCCACTTGGGAGCCGGTGACCATTTGCTCATTTCATACGTCTTTGTGTTTGGTAGTTTTTCCAACAGGGCCCAATCCTCCCCGCATTTTAATCAAGTGGCTGTTGGGATACAATGCTTCATCGGAGTGAAGCAAACAGCAGTGACTTTCGATTTCAAAAGGGTTTTTAAACAACCGGTTGGTATAGATTCTGTGCTGCTTTTGGCTTTTGACACAAAAGCTTCGTCAGGCCGAGTGAACAACTCGATGGTTAGCATAACAATTATTGTAATATTAATCATACTAGACATATTTATTATCAAGTGAGAAGCTGCGTCCATATGTTGGAAGCCAATCACGAAAAATGGGATGTAGGTAGGTGTATCACGCTACAGAACAAAGTATCACTTCAATTGGTGCATGGAAAGTCCCAAGTGGCTAGCTTTACTCTGTCACGCAAGTAAGCCCCCGTCAGTGATCGGTGTGGGGATGATGTGATGTTCATTTTGTGCCTCAAGATTTCGAGGGCAGTGAATTTTTATTGGCGAGTCACAATTGTCACGTCGCACTGTTGTTTAACCTACATGTATAGGGAGAATGCATGCCAGACGAAGACCCACTACGTCCTGGAACACTGCAGCCGAACACTTCGCTGGAACGGCGTAAACCGGAACCACCACCACATAGAGGTTGTCCGGCTAGTCAGCCAAATTAGACTCTTCAGTTCTGCTGTCTGTTAAACATTTCTGTAGGATAAATAAAGGAAAAATTGTAGGCGCTAACTGTACGCCGATACCTCGTACTGACTTTTTACTCTCGCGCATATACCATCCCGCGCTGGTTATGGATACTGCGGTGTCGCTCTCATCTTCAAAGATTCGAACCAACGATCTTAGTTGATACAAAACAAGCGCCTTCTGCCAATCAGTCGTTAGCTGAATACCTTCCGGTTGCGAAGCTTAGCCAGTATGATCGATGGACGTTCCGACGCTATTCGTGTTTGATCCTCTATGTTTTCGAATAGCTTACACCGGTTGAGCATTGGGCGTGTTCAGCGTATTTAGTATGGTGCATGAAGAGCAATGAGACCGCTCAGCGCTGTTATTTTAATGCTCCATGTTCCGATGTAAAATGTCATTGTTAGTGTGCAATCGTTCCCCGAATCGAATTTTGCCTACGATGTAAATCCAGTAAGCTTTTGAACTGTTGTACAGATTTAGCCTCCATGACTTGTTCTGGCAAACTGTTCCAAACATTTACCACTCTCCGTTTTATATCCGGTGCCACAAGCTTGTACCGGTGTCCGCTTGTGTTGCATGGCGTTAGCAAATGAACTAGCGGCCTCAACATAGGGAAATCACCGCTAGGCCATGATGAGATTGACTCGCACCCAACGATAGGAGAAGGTGTAGAGTCCGAGTTTCTCACTGCGGTCTTCGTACGATAATTCTCGTTAACCTGGAATGAGCCTGGTATCGGCGTGTTTGACCCGTTCGATCTTCCGTGCCTCGTCTCGTGTGATTGGGCAGTTGGCAGGTGAGCCGTACTCCAGAGGAGAAGAAAGGAGAGAAGAGGCAAGTGGCGACCTCTTCGGACCAAGTGCAGAAGCTGCGTTTGATCACCCACAACATGCACATCCCCTTACAATATAGTCTGTTCGTGTTGTCAACAGACTTCAACTCGCAGCGTGAGAGTACACCTAGGTCCTTCACGGAAGGTATGGCATGTAGCTGTTGGCCGTTAATGACGTAAATTCGACTATCACCACCCTTCCCTATGCCCATAAACACCGATTTGGATGGGTTGATGGTGAGGCGGACTTCTTCAGACCTCATGGAGAGACGGTTGAGGTCGTGCTGATGTAGGCTGCAGTCGTCTGGGGTGTTACTTTCTCTCCAAATCTTCATGTCGTCCGCAAACTGGTCACACGGCGACCGAAGAAGCTGAGGTAGATCGTTGAGTTGGATTAGGAACATAGTTGGCCCCAGCACAGTGACTTAGGGTACTTCACTAGTAGAGAGATACCAGTCAGTCAGATGGTCGTCGACCTGTACCCTCCACTTTGTTTCCAACAAGAAAGTCGCGGATCCACTGGTACAGTGATCCACCAACACCGCACATTCTCAGCTTGTGAAGGAGGACCTCATGGCTGACCTTATCGAACGCTTTACTGAAATCGATGTAGATTACGTCGACAGACTTCCCCTGATTTACTGCCTGCAACCATTCATGCCTCGTCACCAGCAGGTTAGTAATGCATGAGCGGCCTAGCATAAAACCGTGCTGCGCGGGCGTCAGTAGATCTTTTGAATAGAGCAGCTGTAGTAGCCCTTCTTTACGATCTTCTCGGCAACCTTGGCCTAAATAGATGTCAGCCAAATCGGCCTGTCGTTGTCCACTTTGCTGAGGTTACCGCCTTTTGGAATCGGCTTAACCACTGAGCATTTCCATTCGCTCGTCAATAAATCTTCGCTTAGTGACCTGTTGAGCGAATCAGTCACAGCGGGTGAGATGATGGCCGATATGGACTTGAGAATCAGGGGGTGTACCCCGTCAGGGCCAGCAGGTTTGGTGCCATCAAGTCTGGTGAGTAGTTGATGCACCTCTTCAACACCGCAAACCAGAATGTCGAGTCCGGTAAGCATGACATACATCAAACTCGGTACAGACATCAGGGTCATTTGCAAACACGGAAGCTAAGTACCTCGCCATGGCGGACGCACGCTCAGAGCTAGAGGTTAGGGACTGTCCGTCCGGGCTCTCTAACTGACAAATCACCCGCTGGCTTGAGACGCCGCTTCACTTAAACAAATGTCCTTTTCAGAGCTGTTTTTTCAGCGGTTGCGAGCTACTATTCGAACCGCCGGCGCTTGCTCATTTTTACTCTATTGTAAATATTTCGCTGTCTTATACATCTCGTAATCATTGGAAGAGCTGGAGAGGAAAAATTCGTCCCACAATTTGCGCCGCCGCTGAGCCATTTTATCATACTCTTTGTCGAACCAATGTGGCTTTAATGGTCCAACTTTCCTGCACTTCAATGGTACAGACTGAGACCACAGTAATGTCAATCTTTTTCTAATGACAGTTTAACAGTCTTCTACAGATGCAGTTTGCGGCAGAGACCAATCTACTTGGCTTGCTAATTGAGTAGGACCGTCGATGGGCACAAAATCTCCCTACGACGACAAACGTGAGCTGAACATGCTCTATCCTTCGGATTGATGACATTCAGCGTGACAGGGATCTTCGGATGCAATTTCCTACCGTCCCACCTTTTGAGACAGTGTTGTGCTTTGTCGCACTGCACCTCAGAACAGTGTTTCTCCGGCAAAATATTGATCGTGGACCCTATATCCAACTGGAAATGTACTGGATGTTGTTCAACTATCAGCGTCGCATATACGTTTCTGTTTTCTCCTTGACGCTCCATGTTACTGATCCTATGTTTTTGGATTGCGGGCGCGTCGTCACAGTCAAATGAATTCATCTTTGATCGGCAACGTCTCGCGAAGTGATTCTTTTTCAAGCATTTTATATAAATCTTTCCCCAGACGGGTCAACTTACCTTTCGGGGGTTATGACTGAGACCACACTACTGGAAAGTTTGTCCACGTGTCGCAGCGGTCTGCGTTGTTAAAAGGCATGTCTTTGATTGTGTGTGGCCTTATCTGGCGAAATTGGAACGCTGTTACCGTTTCGCTATTGCAAATCTCGATGCATTGGTCCAGCTTTAGCTTTCTCTGTTGCAATAATTTTCGCATAATTTTCTCATCTCGAATGTCCAGTACAATTCGATCTCACCAGCGAATCGCGTAGGCACTCGCAAAGCTTGCATATTCTTGCTAACAATTTTAGCAGTTACGTAGTTGACTGATTCACTTGTTTTCACCGAACGCACGAAAAATTTGGAGCACATAGCTCTAACTAAGCTCTTGATGTTCGCAGCCCATTTTGATTATCTCCAGCACACATCTTGCTTCATCGCCAACAACACTTCGGAACATCGCTAGCTGGCAATGAACCGGATGATTGTACAATTGCGTCAGTGTGGAGAAATCCATCCACTTGGCTCTCCATAGGCGCCAGTTTTCGGGAAGCGAACCCTCCGTCATCTGTAATATGAAGTAGACATCGCGATAGACGGCTGTCACCCAAAACAACGCTGCTGCTTGCTCATCGGTTCCTGCTTTTTCTCTATCACCATGTCGTGTAGCGCTCTCTGAGCATCAAGAACAGAGTCTGGGCTGCGATGAGAATCTACTTTGCTTGGGAGGCAACATATTGTCTGATTCCGAATTGGTCTCGATTGGCTGCCTCCGGCATATTCATCGATCAAGCCAACTAGTCGGGCGGGCTTACAAGGTGATTCTCGCTCACGTATGTAGGTGTTGCTACTCGACTAGCGACGGACATTTGATCCAGCTACTTCTTGTCTGTGTGTCCCGAATGCGTAAGCGAATACCAACAGCTGTCATTACAATGCTCATATCACAGTACCAGTACTTTGTCGACTTCCAACACGTCTAGTCTGTTCTATTCGCCCATTGTAGTCTGGCCACTCACGCGATTTTCTTTTATCACCTTACAACCTGCTAAACTGAGGCTCTAAGGTGATAATTTCCCACGTCTCGGCATACCTTGCCTTGTTCCCTCTATAGTCACATTCCCCGCGTTGTCGCGTTTATTGCTGCATTACGAGGCATGTGCTCATTCTAGACGAACTAGATCAATACATGCTATACTGACATTTGAGATCAATTAGTTGCTTTTTCCACTCACATTATCGCACATTGTTTGGCTACAGTACAGTGCAACGATCGCTTTATACGCTCTGGATGGCAGCCGACATCAGCTCCGCCTTCGTATGGGTTGTCGAGACATGGGGTTTCGGCTTATCGTTGCGATTTACCTCACTGACTGTTTATTGAAGCGCTTTAACTATTCTTCTTCCCGTCTTTTAAGTAACCACTCTCTGCAGTAATGGATATCTCTCCGGTATACTGTTTGCAGACGTTTCACTTCACACGTATGTGAATGAGTATACTTACCCACGGTCGTATTCGAGCTTCCTTCACCTTTCTTTTAGACCTCATTCTACCGATTCTTTCACGCATCGTAAAATCACACTGTCTTTGGCGGACAAAACCAACAAATCTCAAAAGGTGAGTCTATTTGTTCATTTTCTTGCTCAAGTTTCCGCTAGTGTCAGTAGTCTTGTTCATTCGAGACCATGTGCATGCTTTTTCCTTGAGTGTACCCCACTGCTGCTTTTTTCGTGCATTCGTTTCATCAAGGCTCGCTTCTTCCTTTACAAATATCTTTTTACCTCTACCGCTGTAGTCCCCACTTCCAACTCATCGTTCTCATCAATAGCATTACATCAGCTAATTGGACTGATGCTTCGCTGTGGTACAACCACGGTGACTTTAGGAATGAAAAATAATTGGAGAAAGGGGTACCTAGCCTAAAACATACAAGGCGGCTACACCCTATCTCAAATCATACAGTTACAAAAAGCTTACTACCGTGCTAAGGTAAGGCGACATCAGCGAGATAGCTTTCTTGCGGCCTTCCCTGCTCCGCGTCATAATCAGCCATTACCCCGCAGATAAATTAGTACTAAACATACTTTAAACAGGCAGTCCGACTAAGAGACGACAGCAGACACGCCACTGGTGTCGACTACGAGCCATATCCTGTAAAGTCTTGAGCCAAGTACAAGGCAGGTCACGTGCACTCCAGCCTTGAAGGCGAGGCGGATCGACGACACAGTTCGGTCGTCAGCGACTTCATTTCACGCTGCCAAGTCAACTTTTGTCCACTGCGAGCCTTGCGCCACCTTACATCTGGCAAACAAAACAAGGCCTTCCTTGTTAAGCGGTGGCCAGACATACGTACTACGTGCTCAAGCCAACACAACTCATTCAGTACGATCTGTTATTCTAAGCGACAGGCCTGATTATTCGCTGTCTAGCACTCGCCTACGCACATCATATTTGCGGACACGTTGTTGTCCCCTGACGCGAGCAATGCTTTGCAGACAGCAATGATCAAAGGCTTGAAGGCGACTCAGATCTTCAGACCGAAGGGGCCAAATCTCACTCCCATAGAGTAGGATGGCTTTCATTGTTGCCACGGCGTTTCATACGGAGGAAAACTCCTTTCTGACTCCAAAAATGTCGCAGATTCAAGTAGACAGTTCTAGTTTTTGCAATGCATGAATCGTCTTCAGCTCTTGTGCGCCATTCGTTGTTGATGCAGCTGCCAAGGTCAGTGAATCGAGAAACTACCTCGAATTCCTCGCTTTCAAGTGTCAAGGTGCGAAGTGCATAACAAATAAATGGGACCATGGTTGTCAGTGCTTTGTAGAGGCCCTCACCACTATCCTTAAATAGTGCGAGTGCGAGAGAATCCGTGCCAGCAGCGCGAAAACAGTTAAGGGCTGCGATCGCGTTTCGGACCTCAGCCTCTGATGGAACCTCTAAACTAACCGGCCATGGCTCAACCTGCATCACATGAGTAGTGAGAGGTCCTGAAGTGCTCCGTCCAGCGAGGCCTACGGCGCTCCTTATTATGATTCATGGCACAAGCGCTATCTCCGATGCCTGGTTTCCTGGGACCACTGGTTCGAATCAGTTGGAAGAGCTTGCGATAATTGCCTACTCTCCCCGCTTTCTCTATTTCTTGAGCGTGAGTTGTCCACCAGTCTTCCTTGGTAGCACGCAGACTCGTTTCAGTTCTCGACAATAGTCCTCCTATTTACATTGTGTTCAGAGTTTGTGGTGATTTTTCTTTTCTCTTCCAACTGGTTCCTTGACCTCTGGGATATCCAGGGAGGGTCTGGTGCAGTGACAATTGATAGTACACAAGCAGATGCTCTTGCGTTGTGCATGGCAGTCGAGCTCTTATTCAGATGAATCCCAATGCCATTCGGACGAGAGAGCGTAGGTCCGGTACGCTGGGCAACCAGGTATGATTTTCTGAAAGAGAACTGAGATAACTTCTCAGTTATCAGTCTCGGGAAGCGCTTGGTACGCCTGCCAGTAACGTTCGTGGCAAAACCACAGCATACCGAGGCATGGTCAGGGTCGGTGTAATTATTCCAGTACGAACGACAATGCGTGATGAAAGCATGCCACCTGTAACTTATGGCAACGCGCATGCATTTGGGTCCACAGCCGACCAGCTATAGTTGGACGCTAGATGGTACCTCGGGACCCACGTTGTCTGAAAGCGTTGCTGCTATGAAACAGCCGGTGCTCCGCACACAGCTGCAACAGACGCTGACCATTGTTCATCCATTCACGGTTAAATCCACACTTACCACCTTGCTGAGCTTCTGAAGAGCCCAGGCTTCCTATTTATTCATTCATATTCCCTGCAAGAAGTATGATATATGTACTGGCAACACTGCGCAGTAGCGTGTTCAATTCGTGGTACAAAACTCGCCTGACAAGATTAGAACTGCAGTCGGTGGGACCATAAGCGGAAGCCACAAAACCAACAGCTTCTGGCGCTACTTCTTAAATCAGCCTTGGTCGATGTCGTCAAACGGGCTGCATACAAACAGCTGTTCACGGGAATCCAAACAGTGAACAATTACTCAGCCTTAAATCTGAGAACGATGTCCACCCCATCTAGACCAGTGGTTGCCCTATCAGTGTCTCCGTACAGGTACAAACAGTAACGAGAGGACAAGCCGGGCGCAGTTAATTCAACAACCCCGTGAGGATCAATGATCCTAGTTTCGGACACACAACACACGTCAATACCCAATGTGCCCAACGTGCCTTTGAGTGCAGCTTGTTCACCTATTTGGCTTAGAGTGTGAACCTTTAACACTGCCAGGGAAACGGGACAGTGTGGCCTTATAAGAGACTATTGCCGATAAATGTCTAATGGGTGGTGCGGAGAAGATAGCTGCAAATGGTATGACTCCAGTGACATTGTCTTGCTGTCATTTAAGCATTGCATTGCAGAAGGGAAATTAGTAATGGGTGTTGGGAGGTGAGTAAGGAAAGGCAAGAAGGAAGACGCCAGCAGTAGCATCTTTTCGCTTATCCGCCCTGCTGTGTGCAGCAGATAAGGCAACCCTTGATAAGCTGTCCACTGCCGATGTAGGATTTGGTTGAAGTTTGATGAAATTGTCATGGTTGTATGTGGGCTGAGTTACTATCATGGTGCTCAGATCTAGTCAGGATGACGATTAGGGTCCGCAACCTAAAGCTTTGGCTCAAAATCCTCTCCGCAAGGTAGCGGGAGGTGACAATGAATTAGTTTTACAGAAATGGACCGCATCTCATTTCCAACCCCTAGTCTGGAGGACCAGGAGACTGAGTTTGTCTGACCTCTAACCATGCACCAACCTCGTAGGAGTAACTCAAGTGGCCTGAGGGTCGAGTATAGCTGAGTGGGTTGACGAGGTAGGCAAATCGTTGCATCACGTTTCGGTCCACTCTGGTTGTTACAGTCACCACCGGGCCAATTTTAGTCCTGTGTTTCTCGTAATTATCAGTCGAAAACTACGTTAGCTGTCATTTCATAATCTATCCCTGACGGAGCGTTAAAAAACGCCAAACTAAGCGCGATGCAATTTGGCAGCCAAGTGGTATATCCTTTGCGTAAAGCATAACGCACGATAATTTAATGAATCTGAAAGCCGTTCTAGATTTTGCTCGGCTTCCCATTCAAAGATCCTGAAGTGGTGGGGTAGGGCGCAATTTAAGGAATAAGAGAACGAAAATTTAATGCCATTGTTTCGAGGTGTTATCCGATGGAGACTCGTTTGCCACACTTATATTTCTGCCTTTTCGAATGCTGTCCTTATGCATATAGAATCTCCGTACGGAAGAGATACCTCCATTCCGATGCACAAGTTCTTACGTTTTTACGGCGAGCATTTTCATCTTTTGAAACTTCATCCCTGATTTTTTCTCAGGTCAAAATTCTTCCAGTGGCAGGAGGCGATCCGGAGAGCAACCGTAATGCTCTTGTGAGGAAGGAAGAGGAAAAATTGCGCGCCACTCTTCGGCGTGAGAGCCAATTGCGCCGTATGCGCGAACGTCAGGCCATATCTCGGAACAGTTTTACCGGGGCTGGCACTAGCGAACGGCGTCGACACTACGGCACTGGTGAGGATGAGGACGACGAGGATGATGATAACACCACTTCGTTAAATGCTCTGAAACGCAACGCTAAAAATGCTCTCAAAGCCAGTCGCAGGGGTGAGTACTTGATAGTCATCTCGATCCTATCTTTTTTACACCATATCCAACCTTGTCATTTTGCATATGTCCTTACTTGCTTATCTACTTGTCGAAGAAAGCGAAAACACTACTGGTACTGCTCTATTTTCTCCTGCACGCTGTGGACCGAACTAACCTTGAATAAATTCTTTTATAGTCGGCCCCTTTATTGGACCTCAATTTAGTTAGGTGTTCATTTGTCAACTTCCTCGTCTTCACTCTGACATGTATCCGCACGATCGTCATCTGTCTGTAACCGTGTTGTTGACAACATGCAACCATCTTGACCCTGTGTGTAGGTATTTGGAATATTTGTGTTCTCTCTCTCTTTTCCTCATTTATTATCCCTCATTCTATGGACCATTTTATCCGTTCGACAGCGATATGTCAGTTTGAATTACTGTTGTGCTCTTGTGGTTGTGCTTATTAATGAGTCGGTCTGCTGGCTTCATCAGGTACATTTACTTTTTCTACTGAGTCAGATCTGAGTTGTTTTCCACATGGTTCATCGCGTGCTTCGAATTCATTTCCACAGTATGTTACGATCCGAAACCGTTTTCGTCTACAAATTATTCCCCGATCACTGTTGCACACCCTAATTTTTTAGCTTTCTTAGCTGGCGAACTTCCTCATGGTCAGTGACTTAATTCACAGCCATCTATTTGAGAAACCCCCATTTAAGCACCAAGCAAAGTGTGGAATGTGATGTTGAGCCCAAGTGACATCGAGCGTTTGCTAGATGGAGTGTACCGCTTTATAACTATCTCTGGGTACTTCACGCGCTGGTGCTTGCAAGCATTCACATTTCGGGGACTCTCGGTTGTAAAGGTGAATTGTCTTCATGGTTTTATGGACAAGTTCGGCCAACGTTTTGGCTCCAATTGGATGTTCTGAACTATTTCGTCACCTGACCCCAATCGTCTCAAGGGTTTGGGGGAAATCCGTCCAGACTTTTAGGCTCCACCCATTTATTCGTCTCCTTCACCTTCAAACTTGTTAACTCGGTCTACCCGGCCTCCAAACTACGACCTGTACCAGTTGCTCAGCAACTAGATCCATTTTACGTGGGTGTTACACTTCCAAACTGCTTGCACCTAGGTCAGTTTCGCAACACGGGGTACTCTGCTTCCTCGGATTTTGACGCTTCCCGAACTGCTTTCATCACGGCTCCTTTTTGCTAACAACCTGTTTGCATGCTACAGCTTCGAGTTTTATCGTTTAGATTACAACTGCTGCTTTTGTGATACGGGTCCTTAGGTTGACCTAGAGCTCTTACTATCACCGTTGAGTCGCTCCAACTTGTCTCTAATTTCAGGCCAAACAAACATACTTTTCTTCGTCCTTTCAAACAAACCAAATCGGAGATCAGCAGTGATTGTACATCCTCGCAGAGACTCCAGCTTTGTTTAAAATTACATCCTGAAATTCGCGTCCTGAAATAGCTACTCATCTGCTAAATCAAGTAACAAAACGCAAGTTCAACATATCTGTGACTCTCTAGCGTACATATGGTATTCAGAACGTTTTTGAACGAACTGAGAGCTATACTATTCTTTTCTTACTTTCGGTTTCTTACTATAATTTCGCTCTTTTCGTGAGAGCATACAACCCCATATATGGCTGTTTTCTGTCTTTCGGGTGCCTCGATACTGCTGTAGAGCTTGTACTTTACTCGGACGTGATACGCGAACCCATTCCCATCAATTGTTCCCATTTCGGATGAACAAAAATGGGAAACTACCTGGCAGTTTACCTAGTGATTCAGGCGTCTGGATTGCAATCCGACGTGTTCACCACCGGCTCTAACCTGCTTCGGTGCGGATAATCTCACAGTGCTCCTAGCCCGCACGCGACTGCTAGCGATGATCGCTTTGTAACGAAGATTCGGCAGGAGCTACCGATTGCATACTTCTAAAGCTTGTGTTGTAGAAGGCGATGGTCCAGTAGATCGAGTGTCTTTGAGAAATCCAGAAGTTACCCTGGACGCTGAACTGATGTTCATACAGAATATGTTGCTCGAGAATGGATACCTCGACACATATATTTTAAGAAACCTTGAGGAAAAGCCTAAACAGGTGCCAGTGTAACAGTGTCAAAGAAAGCTATTCATACGACTAACTTTAAAAGGGGACGCAGTTACTGAGCGGCTAACTCCAAGTCTTTCAGGCGCATTTATGTCGACCTTCGCAGTAGCTGCGCTAAAGTGCGTGTTTTCAAAGGAACCACTCATCCGTTCACGAAACATGGATACATTGCCCATGCCTATCACCTCACTGGTTATCTATCAGTTCAAGTGCGCCTGTGGTGCAACTTATATCGGTCGAACGACGCGGCCCTTGTCCAAACTCGGGAACGAACAATGCCCACGTTGGTTGCATCAAGGTGGTACTAGGACCATTAGCAACTCCATTCTGGCTCCTATCGTCAACAGTGGTCATCAGGCGTGTCTAAAGCTTGCCTTTAGAGCAGTATACAAAGTTCCACTGCACCGATCAAAAGGTCAGCACCTTCGTACACTTGCGACGGCCGAAGCAATTTGCATTCGATTATTTCAACCATCCTTATGCTCGCAAAAAAACTAGTCCAGGCTCTTCAGCTTTTCCTTGGCTCGCGAAAACGGAGGATGCTGGGGTCAACGGCCTGATGTCAAACTGTGTAACATGTAATTAACCCGTTTCGATTTTCCGTCTGTTACTTTTACTAACTGGGTCGATTTTACTCCCCTTTTTAGCCCTATATATGGTTGTGATGGTCTGCAGATGAATCACTGCAACCAACTGTTCACTAAATGGTCTCCTTATTCTCATTAACTCATATGGGGATTTAAATCCAGATGGGTGGCATCTACTCCTACACTAGCATATGCGGCTTTCCACCAGCATTCACGAGCTGTCAGCTGATTAATAGGGTGGAGAACTGAATTTGGCGAAGTCCATGCTGCTCCAAAGTGAGAACTTTTTACTTTCCAGATACCATAAGATTGATTCAGCGATAATGTACTCCATAATCTTAGAAATAACCGGAAGAAGTGTCATCAGGCGTTAATTCGCTGATTCTGCACGGTTGACACTTTTGTAGATCGGGGTGACGATCGCGTGCTCCCACATTGAGGGGATCTGCATCTCGTTAAGAACTCTTTTAAATAATGTTGTTAAGGACTCAGCTAAACTCATGGTAGTCACTTTCAGCGCCTTCGGTCGAATGTTGTCTGCATCAGGAGAGCTATACTCCCGCAAAAATGTGTTTTAGGCCTGATGATGACATGATCTGCGTAGGCAAATGTATAGTGATTGTACACTTTGGAAAGTATTGCTGAATTGCCATCCAAGAATCTTTGTGCTAAACCGCATGCTGTGTGCAGAGCAGGAATTCCGCGCTTAACCCTGCGAAGTTTGTTTTCGTGTCTGGGTAGCAGCTTCGGGTTGGTTCTTTATTCTCCCGCACGTGTTTGACTCAGTGGTTTCTTTGTGCTGTACAGATATTCAACGTGTCCTCAATCGAGTCATGCCAAGTCCCACAATATCATGTAATTTTGAGCCCTGCTTCTTAGGAACGACTTCCTCTTTTTCAAACTTTAGATTCTGGTTTCTAGACCAGAAAACAGTGCAGGGTTAAGATATCTTTTCGGTAAAATCTCGTCAGACCCAAACTTTTACATGACACGGATTATGTGGTTTTACAAAGGCGAAATGAGGGCCTCAGACAGCTCAATCATGTCGCACCTCCTCGAAAGTGGCCATACTGCATCTGAGAATGACTTTAAAGTCATCTACTCACTACCTGAACGCTTATCGCAAGGCTTCCGAAAGCAAATCTTGTCTATCGCCGAGGCTATTTACATCCATCATCTGAAGCCGGAATTATGCGTACACAAACGATTCATACGGCCGATACTACTACCTTGGCCGACTGACATGGTTACTTAACTACCCTTTGTGACCTTAGCTATTTACTTTAGGCCCTGAAGCTTGTATTACTTTCCTTTGATGCACTTTTCCTACCATCTGTAGCCACCTTTAGTCATCGATCTTGACCTTTCAAACACCTTAGAAATCAATCCCAGCCCGATTTGACGCTTACCCCACATAATCCGTGTCATGTAAAAGTTTGGGTCTGACGAGATTTTACCGAAAAGATATCTTAACCCTGCACTGTTTTCTGGTCTTGATTCATCTGATTACAATGGGAATATTTGCTGTGTTGAAAATCAGCATTGCCCGTGATTCGTTGAAGATTCTGGTTTCTGATGTGCGTGCCACTAGCCTGTTGAATCTCTTGACAAATTCCCCCAGGCTACCTCAGGGAACCAACTTGTTGCACCAGTAAGGTCGGACAGGTCATCATAACTGGTTACGACGTGAGATTCTTCGGTACGTTCTTCAAGACACTGCGTAGCACATATAGTGAAACCCTTGTGTCGCACAATCGCTGCGGCCCACAGAAGTGCACCTTGTTAAATCGTTGAGAATCACTTTTGTGGACGAGGCCAGTCCAAGACTGATCTTGTTCCGCCTGAGTAGTCTGAAAGCTTTGAAGATCCATGTTCGCCCAGACCTGGACCCAGTAGACAGGGAGCGGCTCAAGTTTGCCATCATTGAGATGAAAAGACGTACTGATGAGGGGGAAACAAATCTCCGTATCGTAAATTTTCGGATGGTTTCCAAGTATCTGCGAACCCGGACAAACAGATTGCTCACACTTCAAGCACGCCCGGCACTTCCTGCTGTGTCCTACGAGTAGCCTTCAAAAACCTTCGCACTGTTATGGACAAGCGCGAAGAGCTTTGTTGTTTTGTTGCGTCTGAGCGGCCGGACGTAGTGGGACTCGCAGAGACATGGCTTCTTTCACAATTATACACCCAGGAACTTGAACTCAAAGGTTACTTGTGCTTCCGATGCGATAGACTAACGAATGCTCGCGGTGGTGTCTTGCTCTACATCCGGTCTTCCCTGCGTGGGAGACTTGTGAGCACCTACCGA